AAAAAAAAAAAAAAAACAGATTCCAAATTCCAGAAACGCGGATAAAAAATCTCATATGGGCACTCTTACCACCAAACCACGCCGATTGATATAACTGTCATCGATCGACATTCAATAAATCTATGGTTCTAACAAGTATGGACACACAACTGATGCGCAAAGAAAACAGAGATTTTTCAAAGAAAAGAGAACAAGGAGCGAGGAAAATGAGAACCCCCAAAATAAACAGAAAAATAAAAAAGAGGAGTCTGTAATCAGATTGCAAATCAAAAGCAATAATAATCAATAAAAGCCATTGAAGAGGACGAAAAACCAACCGAAATTCATGGGCCTCTTTTAGTTTTTCTTTTTTTTTTTATTAATTTACTTTTTTCTTGCTTGCCCCTTTTCTCCTCACCTTTAGTTCCCTTCGTGAGCCCGTCTCTGCCTATACAGAATAAATTAAAAATCAAATCTTGGTTATTTATGTAGTATATGGTAGTCTGGGGTTTGCCTTAAAAGTAAAAATAACAAAGGAGATGGGAGAAAAAAGTGGGGTGGGAGGACAGGTGAGCGGACAGCCAGGCAAAGCAAATAAACCAACGAATGAATGTCTGTGTCTTGTGTTTTTGTGGGAGAGAGAGAGAGAGAGAGAGAGAGAGAGAGATTCTATACACAGAGGCTGAAGGAGAGGGCGGTGGAGTGGATCAGAGAAAAGCGAGCTTGCTTTGGTGCATAGGCGTAATTATGTTACATGTATGCGTGTGCCACATTTTCTTCCAACCTCTCCAACGCTGTTATACTCTACGTCCTTGTTTGCTTTTCGAGATTGGATTGGACTAGTTTAGTTATTTTTCTCGACTTGTAATACTCCAATATGTTATAAAGTTAGTGATGAAGTGGACATAATTAAAGTATATAATGGAGAGAATATAATGTGTTTATTTCGCATTCTAGCCAATCTAGTGAAGACGAGACTGCCCTCACGTTCATCGACAAATATGATCGGATGTTGTTATTTAATTAATTATTTTTATTTACTTTCTTCTTCTTATTATTATATTTCCTTATTTATTTTATTTGGGAGTAAGAAAATAAATATTGAGATTTGAAATTTCAGGGAGTACAAAATCCACGATGATACTAAAAACAATGAACGTTCATGTAAAACTGTGGAAGCAAATAGGAACTTTCAGGAGAGCGTCTCAATCTCCATCAAAACTCTTTCCTTAAGCAAGTGTTTGGCCAACAAGTACAAATAGGATTTACACACATAGACTCCCTCTAAGCTAACCTACTTTGTACTCTACCTACCTAACTAGTTTTCTGGCCACGGCGTGGACTTACCATGCACGTGTGGATCCCTCCAAGCAGTATGAAGATGCTCATCCCGAGCACCAAGTAGAAACGAAAACAAAAAATGACAGCTCGAATTACCAGCAATGAACCTTCATGCTAGAATTCGATCACTCTATAAAATATAATAAAAAAACTCACGAGCTCTCAATGAATAAAACTCTAAACTCTCTGAAAGAATAATGAAAATAGCTCGTTGACAACCAGAACTCATGAAACTAATATATATGTATATATATATATATATATATATATATATACATATATA